CGATCTATTTGCAATTTACGAACCCAAATTCACAATGGAACCAAACCCCAATTTAGGTACCAAAGTTTATTCGCAATTTACAAATAGTCGACCCAAATGTCGTTCTAACAACAATAATTGTAATAATTACAAAACAAACCTTCAATTTTGTAGGTTCCCGGAGCAAAAACTCCAAATACCAAACCAAAGACAAAATAAACCAAAATGTCCAAAAATAATGACATAAACAAACAATTTCAGGAGTTGAGTAAAACAAATACATCCGAAAAACACAGTAAAAGTATTAATATACAATATAAAGGTTGTAAGCAGCCAAATGTATTCAGTTCTTCCCTAACAGGCAGCGTTCCCACAATTGAAGTACACACGGAACTCAAAACAATTGTCAACGAATGTCAAAGTCAGAATCTTCAATACGAGCGTCAAAAGTACTATGTACGGAGCTGAAACGTGGAGAACCACTACAAGCATCACCAAAAAGTACAAATATTTACAAACGATTGTTTACGTAAGATACTAAATATCCGTTGGTCGGATATCATCAGCATCAGCCTACTGTGGAGAAGACAAACCGGCTTCCAGCTCAAGAGGAAATTAGGAAACGACGTTGGAAGTGGGTTGGGCGTACATTACAAAAATCGTCAGACCTCTTCACAAGGCAAGCCCTTACTGCGAATTTTGAAGGGAAACGGAAAAGAGGAAGACCAAGGAATCAAGGAGCTAGTACTATATCAAGCTGAAATAGGTTACTCTAGCCTCTGGACACATCGGTCTATTGATTCTTCTCAAGCCACATTTTACCCTAATACTTATTCGCTTAATAACCCTGACTGTTTTTCTGTGATTGTATGCCTGTTAATTACTCACCCTGTTTGTTATGTGTCTGTAACTTATTTTTGGCCTGACTATAAATATTGAGTCACGCTTGGTAAATCGAATTGACTAACACGCCTTCTCCACCGCGCGTCACTTCGTCTCGCTTCGCTCTCTCCTCTTCGTTTCGTTTCTTTGATCGTCTGTTTGTCAAAGGTTATATGAAATATACTTACTCGAAATCCATTCTCGTATTTGACTTACTTAATTCCGTTATTCACTAACGCAATTCAAGTAGATAATTATATACGACGGTATGTGTATTTCGATCACAATCAGAAACGATCTAACTGGAGTCAGATACAAGGGCCAGTAAAGTGGTGAGCCAATCGATAACGTCGTCGTCCAACCTAATTGGCGACAAAATGATTGGCCACTAAAACATTGAATCCAAAACTGGAAGGTGAAATCAAAAGAATCAATAGCAACTGCATAGGAGAGCCCAGGAAAGAGTTCGACGGAGAATCCTGGTGGGCGATCTGCATTCCTCCACGATGGTTATCAGGCGTAAGTTATAGTTTTGCTAAACTCCATCCTCATTTAGATGGATACAGTACTAGAGACTGAGAGGAAACATCACAATGTATATACGACAAGTCTTCCAACTGAACGCTTGAATCAGTTTTCTAAGCGCTTCTAATTACCTCAGGTCAAATCTACACGGAGACTTGAACACAAGAAAAAAGGGATGAAGTGTAAAAAGATCGCTTTACACCAAGGTTCTTTTATGTGAAGAAAATCGAGGGTATTTATAGTATTTCAGATGAATTTGGGCTCCTAGAATTTTCTGCAACAATCTGAATATAGTAGCAGTATAAGTGAGTGTCCAATCAGAAGTGTGACGTGACACTTCACTTCCCAGATGTTCCTGCGAATTCCTTTGAATTATGTAAATTAACTAATTAACTGAATTTATATTTGGAGAAAATAACTTTTTCGTAGACTCATAAACATAGTTACCTTATGCGGAAAATACAGTAGTTACGGACTGTGGGACAACGATACAACTAAATATCTACACCTACACAGCGAAACCGTCTGAGAGGAAATGTTAGTTTCCTGTTTAGATCAGCAATCCAACTACTTACGTGTCTAGAATCAAAAGTGAAACGGGAGAAGCGTGAATGTGATCATATTAAATTAGAATAAATTTATGAAATTCGTGATTTTAATTTACGTTATCTAGATTTCCAAATCGAAGTTCATAAGAAAACCAAAATGAGTTGATAGACAAAAAATTGAAGACAGATTAGTATAGTGCAAATGGGTCCATATTGTGCCTTTATGGAAATATAATCTTTCTACCCTATATTTCTGTCATCAAATTTTCTCTGCCCTGTTTCTTAACTTCTAGTTTGGTTGTTATTCTAATGGGTTATATTTTTGGTTTGTTTACCTTTTTGTCTTGAACCATGACTACTTAAATTGATCTTATTGTTTGTCACAGTTCTTAACTAACTACTTATGACCTATAATTTCTGAGAAATAATAAACTAGGCGTGGGTCGAATGAAAACAAAAAGACCCACCGTAAGTATTACGAATCGTCATGACCAGTGGAGCCAAACCGTGTTATGTGAGCCGGTTACTCACCGAAGACAATGAAGGATGGTCGTGCACTGTCGTGGGCCAATCAAAGTTAGACTTGTATACCTATGGATCTCGGCTCAGTGTTCGCGTTAGAGATAAAATGACTGTCCGACCGTTGTTGCTACCTTGACGTGGTGATCAAGCTTGCCTGTCGTGATGAAGCAACCGAACTATACTGGCTGGAACAACCGTTCCTCAAGGTCCTACAATGTCAGACAGGTCGGTTGAAGAGCGGTAAGACTAAAAGCAACAAACCTAAGGTCCGAAGGCGAAGTCGTACTGCTGACTGTACAGAGGTGTGATGGCAGTAAGTTGTTTCCTTCAGACAACCAGCATGACAGCGATGCTGCCTTCCCACAAGGACGGGTGGGGTTAGAAAAGGTCGATCCTAAAAATGAACACCTCGCCTTATCCCACGGATATCCGTCTCCGGTGGTAAGGTCTCAACAAGTAAGGAGCTAACACAAAAATTACCCATAAAAAGGTCGTGTGTGACTGACCTCAAGTAGTTGTCCCTTGGGCACTGCGGTCACGCTCTCAGGTCATCAAGACCACCTCCAATCCAATTTCCTTTTCCGGCACCTCCAGAACAACCCTTCCACGGTGTGGGCAACCGGGAAGTGATAAACGCCCTCTCTAACAGCACTCAAGATCACTGTATTCATAATCAACCTCCCAAGGATGACTGGTTCAATTCCTGCTTTTAGGGTCGTGGGTGCGCACTACTGAGTCCCATACCAGGACAAAACTGCCATCTAGTGCTTCTACTTTTCCTATGTTCGCCTAACTTTCATCGGCTCGTGATTTAAATTAAAAAAACCGTCTACCCGTGCAAAAAATTACATGGATTTTAGATAGTCCCATGAACCGTTGAGTGAGAAAGTTAGACATCAATTGTCACTCATTAGACAACTATTTAATGTAGTCATATATATATATAACTGAAGCAAAAAGAACATAAAATATGGCATGATCATAAATCTCCACGTAATCCATTTAACATACAGTCTTGAATATGGAGTATAAAGTCAACACCTTCAAAACATTTAGAGCAATTTTTGAAGTAGCCAGATTTCACGAAACCTATTTTGCGAAACGTAATCAACCTTCCATTTCCACAGTAATTATTTGATTTTATTTCAATCGTGAAAGTAATACATCCCGAGCATTCAAAAAATACCAAGTTTTTAGAATAGAAACAAATAGCAACCTTTTATCCCCTCGCTTGGCACTAGTTAGCAAGAAACAAATACTTGACTGATAAATTTATTAAATCCACAGGAATACAGAAAAGACTAATAGGTATTTAATAAGAAAAAGCTTGACGTCGCTGAAAAGGGGGTCAGTAGTATGAATAGTGGAATGAAAACAAGTCGGTGACTAAATAGGCCTTGAAATGAACGATTCAGTATGAAGATATCTGATAATGAAGATGCTATAAACTGTTCATTTGATAGACCATTAAGGAAATAATCTTGAAAGGTTATCTTTAAAGATTGACTTAATCACCTTTATCTCTCATTCATGTTCATCTGCTGAGTCAGTAAACTATTGACTTCTCTCTGATGTTACATTAACAGCTTCAATTAACAACCTTGAACTATATTTACTGATTCAACTATTTGGGATTCACTATTTCAGTTCAATTTTTGAATTGTCATTTTACTTTGTTCTCTTGTATTTCTAAAAACGTTTGTTTACATAGCGTGGTACAAGTTCGTCGTACGAAACTGTTTTAACCCTTCAAAAATAAATGTTCATAGATGTAAAATAAGAAGAGAACATTTAGTGATGTATAGTTTGTTCTTGATTTCTTCAAACTATTAAAAAGGAATACATTTTTTGGAGGATATCATGGTTAAGACAGAAATAAATTAAACTGAGATGATGGTGGCTAGCAGTGAAATCCAGGATGCATGGTTCGTCCCATTTAGGGCTCGTCAACCGGATGTGTCTGCATCACAGAGTTGATATACACTCTGAGACTCTAACCCAGCACCGTCCACTTCAAACGCCATCGCGTTATCCACTTAGCCACTGAGTCCAGTTATCCACTAGCTTGTGCAATAGGGTAAATTTTAATTCAATTTTGTATTGGTCGCTCGAATCTTCCCACTGATGTTTGGGACTGCGATTGATCAGTCTCTAATTGGCATATGTGCATACTGTGCAGATTGCCTCGATATTCCCTTCAGTCCTGGAGTGAATATGAACTCTGCGATACAAGTACGTCCAGCTGACGAGTCCCGAATAAGACGAAACGTGCACCCTGGATTCTATTGCTAGCCACCATCATCTCAACTTATAATGTTTATGACTTAAGGCGATATCGAGACAATCCGCACGGGATGTTTATATACCAATAGGAGACTGATCAATTGCAGTCCTAAATATCAATGAGAAAATTCGAGAGACCAACACAAAATTGAAGAAGTAAATTAAGTTTAGGCTGCAATAGTGTTTGCTGTTATAATAAAGATTGAATATTCCATCCTACTTATAAAATTTTAGTTAATTAGTATCAATAGTTGTACCACTGAGAACCTGTACATACATCAATTAATTAAACAACATAGGACCAACTTTCATAAAATTAATGAACATTTTACGTTAGTTAAAATTTCGGGATTTGACTATCGTCTGAGAAAGTTAGATTATACTATTACCAAATGAAATTTGGAATTGTTTCAGTCGTTTATCCCAATAATGAAGTAGATACAATATTGGAGTAATATGAATAATTATTATTGATACACGATTCTGTGTGAATGAAGAAATCCACATATGAAACTAACTAGTTTATGTACTTGCCTTCAAACTATACATTGTTTGACAGCTAATGATGCTGACCAGTTGAGGATGTTGAAATGCCGATCCAATGGTCGGAAGCTGAGTTTTAAACCAAAAGTCATTGTGGCTGCAGAACGATAAGTAAATAAAAGTAGTGATGAAATAATATCTTTGAATGATGAGTGATTAGAAAAACTTCAGGTAATCATATGAAAACGAGAATTTATTTTGATTTAGTCCTTCAATTCCATTCCAAAACTGTAAAAACCAAATAACTAATTGATTTATACAGAACGATATATAAAGTAAGAAAGATTATAAAAAGTGTATTCAAAATACGAATTTAAGCAACAGCAAAAATAAACATTTTAGACGAAATAATCCATTATGCTGACAAGAGAGATCTTAAAGATGTATGCGATATGTTGAAAATCGATTAGAGAAATTAATGATGAATGTTAGCGGAAAAAAAGGAAAAGTAAAACATCTTAGAAAAAAGTTAGCAAGTGTCTAAGTACCAGAAGACTAATATATATGTGCATACAAAATATATCCATTTCTTATTGCTGATGAAAATAAAAACATTCAGAAAGATGATGATAATCATGGACTAAAATAGGATACAAATCACATTTCAAATTTCAATGTTGAAACAATAACATCACATTAAAAGAAATAAGCTATATATATCATTCAAAAATAAAATATGCTTCATTACAATTAATTGACATTTATCTTCTGATAAAATATAAAGCGATTAATTAAACAACAACAAAAAAATAAGAGTATTTGCATCCATTAATTAAACAGTGAACATAAATAAGTTTTCGGAAATCCGAATGTATTTTATAGATAGAATACAAACGTGATTTTTAAAATGGTCAGGATCTAACATTTAGACAAATAAAATGGTATAGAGATTTATTTTGAAACTTGTAGAAATGCTTTAATTTGATCGTAACATGCATACGAAACACTAACAGCCGGTAGAACTTTAAGAATATTTGGCCCTAATCCTCTAAATAAACCTGGTATACCTTCATGTTCCACAATATTTTTGACAATCTTTAATAATCCAGTCTATAGAAAGAGAAATAATAATAAGTGTATAGTAGGTAAGAAACGAAGTCATGTGCTATTCAAGATATTCTATTTTATTTTAATTAGAATTATCCTGAAGACAAATTTTTACACAAAGCCTTAAAACGCATTTAAAAATCTTGAAAGTGTCTTAGATGTTTATAGTGAGACTGAAAACTGTTGACTGATATACTCCACATATCTGTCGAACTAACTTTTTGTTTTATTGTAATAACTACTTCAAAGTCACAAAAGAATCACAGAATAATATATCTAAATAGCAAGGTATAACTCGTAACAATTAGTATTACTATATTTCTTAACAGTACTTTGTGGAAAATGATAGAGTAAGATGAGAAGATTATCACTGGGCATCTATAGATAGTAAGTTGGGAGGGTATTGCATTCTAACGAATTTTCCATCTGGTGCTTCAGTAAATAAATGCCAATGAATAAATTTAAACGGTAAATGTGATTAATTTAAAGATAAACATGTAAGTGATTTCAAAAACCCAGTGCTTAATGCACAAATCACGTTGCGTAATTTGGCTAGTACAGTGTTCCAGCCGTGTTAAGGTTGCTTAAGCCGTTATGATATACACATCAGCATAAGCACTCTTTCAGGGAAGGTCGATGGTCACCTCTTCTTAGTATTTGCTACCATATTTTTTATTGTCCACAACCTGAAGGACTGGGCCACTGATCTTATTAAACATATAGGAATTCTTCAGCTTAAATTACTTGTGCTAACGCACGCGCGTACCCTTTGCATATACCTGTAAACATACACCACACAGGCAGTCTCATGCAACTCATATACATATGCATACAAATCTGGCGGCCCGCAAGACGTTTTGGGATCCCCAAAAGATGTGACCCACTGAATCCGACCTATAGTAGAGTAATGGATTAGTCTAATCTCTACCGGCTAACCAAGTTAGCTAGCAAGGTTGCTCCTACTACCCTGTAGAACCATGAGGAGGCCTTAGATCGGATTTTGCTACCTGTGACTGGTAGGTATTTGTTTACTTACGAGACACTAAGGTTTGCTAAACTAAAAATCTGATTCCCTAAAAATAACTACCAGATGGTATTTATTTTAGCGTTGAGTTTACTAAGATTTAACTTGGCAACTTAACAATAAAGGAAACCTGAATTCTGCCTTATGGTTTGAATAATGATAAGTATAATCTGGGTGTTCAGTAGTGCATCTTAAGCATTTCTTTGAATGAGATCAATTTTACAATGAAAACTTGGTGAATGATTGCGAAAACTGACTCAAAAATGTTCTTCAACCACAAGGTTTGAAGAAATTAGAATAGTTTTGACGTTTTGTAAAGTGTGATAAGTATGTTACTCCATAAAACAAAGCTGAAAATGTTGATTTAAGTACTAACGACCTTTCATCACATAAAAATATAATCCACTTCGATACAAAAACACGAGAAGCATGGTTACATATTATGCCATTTCCCTAAGCAAAAGCCTGAGATTACGCTTTCACTAAAAAGTACATTAATGGAAACAAATACGAATTCTACATTTGAACAGAGATCTCATCCGAAACAAACGACCTGTTTAATACTTGTAACAATTGTCTGCTTTGTATTCATACCATTTGTCGGTCTATCCGTTTAGAAAGTTAAAAGAGAAAAAGTCATAGAGAGATATATTGAAAGTGATAGCTATTTAAATCATTGGAGAAGATTCCAAAAAGAGTCATTACGACACGCTATAAAGCATAGTTCAACTAGTTAGAAACGAAGTCAATAAACATTGACCGAAAACAGGAAATAATCGTAAATAAATTGTGAACTAACTTTTTCTGAAGATGCCTGTGCCTGAAGTTTTGTCCGAACTAACGCCAATGGATACGTGCCTAACTGACCACATAATGATGAAAGAGCACCGGCTACAACAGAAACATAGACTGGTGGAGGTATATTTTGAGACTTCTCATCCTTCGATAAAATGCTTTAGAATATGATTGTTTAAATGTTTCAAACATAGCCAATTCTATTCCAGCATACGGCAGAATACCCAGTATATTAGGCACATAGCCACGATAGAATATAGTAATACCATTACTATGATATAACTTTCGAGCACAGTCAAATATTGACGAGTACTGTCCACTTTTGCGCAAGCACATTCGTGTTTTCAGTACCTAAGGACAGAAACAAACAGTGTTAATTCTAGTAAGATATCAACAGGCTAAACGTAGACTCTTAATATTAACAAACGCCCATTCATATGAGATGAAGCTTGTCAGCTATATCCTTTTTAGTGTTTTGATGTATGGAGAGAGAGTCCCCGTTATCAGACTAAATATAAAAAATATTGTCAAGGCAAAGTAAGAACAGCAATTTATACAGTGAAAGACATCAGGACTGTAGAATCATTAAGGTTAAAATATAAAAGACAGGTAAGAGTGATATAATATCACAAAAGCTGCATCAATAATAATAAACACTCTTCTTTTCTGTGTTAATTAGTTCCAAACCTGATTGTATCACGTATACGCACTTTTGACAGTAAGAATTGATTATCATATGGAAAATCAGCTTAATCGTTGCGGTTAGCAATATTGAAGTGGAAAACAAACGCGACTCGATAAAATGTGTACAATAAACGTACCAACCCATTAAGCTGTAGACATTATTATCGTCATTGTAAAACGTTGTGTACCCAGATAACCTTACTGTTTCCTACGCTTCTAGTTTTATAGTATAAATCACTTTTACCTTAATAGCGTAGCTTTTGATAAGTAATATCTAACGTATAACATGAAAAATGATTTAAGGTAATGTAACTGGTCAATGAAAGACAAAAAATGTGAACTATGAATAAAAAAGGAAAGCGTACATAAGGACTGGTATTCTTGTGCTATTTGAAAACAGTTTATAGCCATATTACTGAATATTCTCAGTCAACAATTTTTACTCACATATCGCTTGTAGTGAATAGCAATAGGAGGGATCAATAAACTGAATCCGATGACTGTGTATAAACCACTAAGTTGTCAGTATCAATTTAAAAATATTCAATAGATACGAATAATAGAAGGTTGACATTAAACGGAGATTCGCCAGTTGTTACCAACCATAAGACTGTATTTTCTAATGAAACCTTATTTTACACAAAAATTTTTGAACTAAAGCTTTGGTTAGCGATAAATAACCACTTGTCTTGGTTTTTTTTATTTTGGATGTATCATAAAATAAATGTTGAAAGACAAATCACACAATACGATAAAACACTTGTATATATCTTATAATTTGTATGCAAATGATAATTCCGATAAATACGTACTTAGTTTGAACATCAGTTGGACTGTATAACTTTGTATAATTTTAAAGACTAAATGTCAGTAACAGAGTTTGGTCATTCATAAACAGTCAGTGAAACAAAACTTTAAAATCAGAAAATATGGGCAAAAGGTCACCCGCTTCCATATTAGCTTAAAATAACTGAACTGGGATAGGCAAATCTCCATATGCAAAGACACCTTTTACATAAATTTACCGAACACTTTCGGAAATATATTACTTTCGCAACATATATTGATCACATGTGTAATCCTCAAAGACGTCAGCAAATAAACATTCACGTTCCATTTGAAAATATGCTACCAAAGCAAGATAGTAAAGTTTATAGAATGATTTGGCAACATGACAATGCATACAGTTATGATTTATAACTGGAGGCAGAAAATACATACCTCCATAGGATATATAATACTTTGAGAAGTTGCACCAGCCAATGAACCGGCTAAGAATTTAGTATGTAGTTGAAGACTTCCATCTGGATTGCTACCAAATGATTCATTTAGCCAGCACTTGTAAACTTCATAAGCCTGAAATTTAATTGCTGATTCTGGAGCAATCTTTAAACAGTTAACACCATTTCCACGCCATAATGCTGTTACCCCACCTTCTTTAATCATTTTATTGACTGTTCCCAATAAACCTACTTCGGAAGCCTTACTTCCAAGTGCTTGCCATGTTAATTTAATGCGGTCCAAAGGCGCCGTTACAGTTCTAGAGATGCAACCAGCAATACCTAAGATGTTCAAATTCAACAAATGAGTCATTTTAGGAAGGTCAAAGAGGAAAATCGTAATAACCAATTGAATGGAATACAATATTAATCAAAACAACAAAGAGAAATTGTTATGACTGTTCGTCACTAATTGTTATGTCGGAATCGCTTACTACTTATACTTGTAAAGCGAGGAATCACTGCAGAAATCTATTAAAAGAAACTGCAGCAACTTAGCTACCTTCCACCAAGTTTTGTTTGACAATCACTGAGACGAATAAAAACACATAAATGGTCAAAAAAGACCATAACACAGAATTAATTAGTATCACTGTTTATTCACTGTGCATTAAACAATAATGACTGGTAGATTTCGAGATTAGAAACTCAAAACTAATCCGGTATATGGTTTATACATACACAATAGGCGTATAAAAAATCAAACACAAACTATTTTTGATTGTTTAGGTGTTTTCTCTGAGTTGAAAGACTTAGTAATGAAGTTTTTATTGTTATTCTAAACACCTACATCAATACCTGATTCATATCACTAATATTGAAAAAGATAATAAAGGCTTCATGAGTAAACTATCCAGCTTAGGCCCTCATCCTCAGGTACAAATACTCCCCATCACCTTAATGCAATTCAATATTTCAAGAAAATGGAAGGCAGAAGTCCCCGTAAAATTTCAGTAATATCGAACGATATCAGATATAACCAATAACTCCAGCGATAGTTTGACCACACCATAGTAATTCTGTTAAGGCGACTATATTTCGTGCTAATCATCAATGATCTCAACTATAAACTGAGTAACAGATGTCGTAGCAGAATGAAACATACCACTAACAGTAAAAAAGTAATCTGTTTTCACCTCAAACAGCACTTAATAACGGACATCTAGCTAATGTAGAAAACTGAAGGTAATCCGTCATTTCTGCAACAAGGAGAACTGTTACTAACTATACAACGGTACTCGATCCATTTTTATCTGTCGATTACATCAACTCAAGTAGAAGTGACTAAGAACTAAAAGACTGTAAATTATCTTTATAGTAAAGACATAGAACAGCCAACTTGTAACTGTTGCGACAAACTCATTATACTCATACTGTAAATACTTGATGCAATATATCACTTAAGTTGTCTAGTTTTAAATGCTAGCTCTGTATAAATATCTTAACCGGTCCAAGAGTTATGCTATGTACCAAAAATCCAATTATTAACAACCACACGTTACACAGAGAGTCTAACAGAATAGAAAGCACAAATTTCGTATGCATTATTCCTTTAATTAGAAGCAAAATGTTTTAAATTACCAGATAAAAATGTAAAAGGTAAATGAACACTAGAACTCAAATTACAGTACTGACCTCCTGAGACCAATGTTTTCCAAGCATCTCCCGATTTCTTTTCTTCTTCTGTGAAATCATCCGGAACACACATATTTTCACCTATGTCAATGGCTGATGCATGTCGCCAATATCTAAATATTTCATCAATCTTTGAAGTCCCACTAAATAGCAAAAAGTCTCTCCATTCTTTATAATCAATGTCTAAGGAACCGTCCTTATCTATACGCTTAAGCAACTTCTGTGCATCAGCTTCGCTCACATTAGCACCAAGTCTTTTCATGGCTGACTGGATTTCGCTAGCGTCTATTCGATCATCACTGTTCTGATCAATTTCTTTAAACGCGAGTTTCAAATGAGTTTCAGTGTCATTAATGTAAGAAAGAAACTCTTGAAATGTAAGTGTTTCATCTTTGTCCACATCTCCTTTGGTCATAATTTTCTTAGCTGTTTTGTTTTTAGTATCTGATTCATCTTTGCTTCCTTTTATGACACGACTAAGTTCAGTAACACTGATACGACCGTCTTTATCTATATCTAAATCGCTGAATAGTTTCCCGATACGTTCTCGATCGGTATCAGATAAATCAGACATATTTAACATCCCTCTTTAACCTTAAAGAAAAAGTCTAAAGAAAAAATACATCAGGATTATGGATGATTACCAACAGTTTGTGGATATTTAATGAAGAACAAATGAATAAACTAATGAACAATAATCATAACTCTACTAGTTACTAGAAATCAATCTTTTTTGTCATATGGTAATAAACGGACATATACGAAGCTACTTACAGTGATAATTGTAAACGTATGCGTAAAACAATTCATAAACTAAGTACATATCTTAGAGATCAGCTAGTAATAAGGTCAGAGTAGTCTAAAAGACCAATATTGTGCAAGTTACAGAAATAAGGACAACTTATTGTTGTCCTCGTATAATAACCACTAATAAGTTTTTAAAAATTACAGAAGCGAAAAAACGAAAATCTATAATGGTCATTTAGCCTCACAACTTTCAAGAAAATTCTGATAGTCTTGATATAAAAATGACATTCATGCCAGACTAGCATCATAGACTTGTTTTAGAGAAGTTAGCTCACAACACATCTCAACACTATTATAGAGTCTAGACGCAAGTGCTTTTATGCTTGAAGATAACTTGTCAGAAAAAGCCTTAAATATATTTTAATCACGCTTTTAGGTATTTGACAGTATACACTTCTAATTATTGGTGAACGAGTAAATGTGTTGGTTACGCACTTCATAGGGTAAATTTGAACTAAACACATCCCTCCAACAAACCAGCGGTTTTAGAGAAAATAGAGCAAACCATTTTGACAAGCACAGCTTCAGGAAGGTTGCTAATAGATGCATTCGAAAAAATTTCTACTGCAGTATATACGCTTTAAATGAGAAGATTATTGATAGAACAAGCATATGTAGATATCAGCCTTCAAGGTCTTACACTTCATGGTGTATTAGCTTAAAGGGGTCTCAGAATACTCATATAGTCAACTGACGAACTGTGGAGTGAAGGTTTGGAACTAGCACAGTAACCTATCTAGTTTGGGTGCAGGAAGTTGACGTGTTAAGAGTATCGATCGCCTTAGCTACTCATATAAGAACACATAAACTTTGAATGACTCATTACCTTGCTGTTTGTGATGACTACGAGACAAGCCCATCAATATGCAAAATGAGGTATTTATCGTGCCCCGACGCAACGAAAACTACATTCACTGGGGCACTCAGAAAGTATTTTCGCTCCTGATACAACAAAAATCAATTAGCGGAACCGTACTGAACTTTGGTGGAAGCGAATGGGTATACACATCATACATATACCTCGGTAACTAAATGAGACAATAGACTCGTGCAGTGAAAGTATGACCCAATCTCAGAAAGCAAACCATCTGTGATCTTAAGTAACATTAAAAAAGTACTCATCTTAGTGACTTCACATCAATTCATACTGGCGGTTGAGTTAGAAAAATAAGGGCAACGACAATGGATGCATCTGTACTGCCTAAAACACTTGACATTTTGTTTTGGTCCTACCCCTTCTTGGAACTTAATTCCCGTTTAGTTAGTCCACATCCGAATTTTACATGTTGTCATTAGATATAACAAGCTGGGTTGAACTATAACACATTTGAAAGACAAGGATTCACTTCACTTTATACTCTTGATCATGGGGCATAACTAAAGCTGTATTTGTGAATAACATGACAAGTGTATATCACTGAATTTTTCACAGACAATACGCTAAAGTATGCTATATATTTTATGGTTCTAAATACGATTATGCAATTCGGTTTAAAATTTGGGTAAGTAACAATAACTACAGTGACAAATTTCAGAAATCAAGAAAATGGATTAGTTTCTGGTTCTGTATCGGTTAGTCCGACCACAGAATCCTACTTCGATTGGCTAGACAGTAAGCTGACTACGGGAGAATTTCATAGCTGTATTGAAAACAAGAGGCCGAAGTAGCATCTGTGGCGTTGTGGTCGCTTCTGAAAGATGTTACCTAACATTTTAAGTCACTGAAACTGCTTTTCACAAAAAAATGTGTAAAAGACTTGACGGACTTTTTGAAAGCGTGTCACAGTAGTTAATATCAAACGGCGGCTAGCTTTTTCCAAGAAATCTCAAAACTACTTTGAGAAAATTTTCAAAATTCAGGACGTAAACATCCTCAAACTTAGAACTGGGTACTTGGTTCACAGTGATAAATGCACAGCTATGTTGGGGATTTTTTATTCCAGTTCGCCTATCTAATTATTTGAACCAAGAGACATTTGTCAGAAATACACAAAAATAAACTAAGTTCATTAGTGTTAGTTGGATACGAACTGACTGCACAGTACAGTGTAAATCATAACCACTATAATCCTACAAAGCTTGAATCAATGCAACCCCAGTTGAAGCTAAAATATATGAGCTTTTAGATGCAGCCCATAATAATAGAACATACGGAAATAACATTAAAACTAGTCAAAAAAGATATGTACACAGGGGGTAGTCCTGTCTATGCTTGTGCATCTGTTCGAAACCTAGAAGTGCTTATTGTTTACGTATTTCATTACAATTTGGTTCGGTAGACTACTCGTTACTTGGAAGATCATTACATGTGATGTGATGTACAGATTAAAAAGCAAAATGTAACAGAAATATGGGAACCCAGGTTTGTGAATATTTAGATCCAAAATTTGCAAAATATTTGTCAAGATAATTTAGTGTTATAAGCGTTCTCCGGTAAGTATTGCATAAGTAAGGGCTTAGATATGCTCATATCGAATAAATATTAAGCCGACTACATATAATACACTAGACTTTTATTAGCCAATACTGTAAATAAATGGAGTAACAACCAAACTTTAGTTGAGATTTATAAACATTTTATTAACACAGAAATGCGGGATAAGAACTGAGAAATACATAACAAGGCGAAGAAATAGTACATAACTCAATACCGATATTTAGTCGAATAGTCTTTTGGAGAAACGACCAAGCCCCGACCTTTTCTCGCACCCCTATACACTGTTTCAACAATATCTATAAATTCCTGTCCGTCCGCTATGGGCCAGTTGATTTTATTGTTGTTACCTGTTCCCAAGTCAATCATAATGTGTTTATTACGATAAAAGAACATAACAGTGCAGGGATCGTACAATTCGTACATTTTGTTGAAGTCTGGAACTTGAGTTATGTCAACTAAGTACGTGATTGCGAAGTTCTTCACCCTCTCGGCGATTTTAAAAAGAGTTTCATCCATGACCATACACGACGGATCCCAGTCGTGACCGAAGCGTATGATGACAACTCTGTCCTCTTCAGACAGTATAGCCTGATCTACTTGCCAGCCATTAGTTAGGTGAGAAAGCATATAAGACATGTTTCGAACAATGAAAAAGTAAAGGCGAGATAATTAACGAGACAATGACCTAGACTTTTCAAACGTCCCCCGGTAAGACAGAAATCATTGTTGTACTTTGGGATGAAAAGGCAATTAACCTCAGTTATGTGTGTAAATCCATGTCATTTTTGGCGATAAATAATACTGAATATGTTTCTTTTGCTTATGGTATTAGACTTCGAAATGCACATGCAAACACATGTCTTAGTCGAAATATATCCAGTATCCGTGTCACGAGCTTTATATAAACCAGCTCATTTCTTTTTGCTTGCCTCTTTGTTTTTCAGTTGGGTTTCAGGTATTAGTTGTGTACAATAGTTAGTGGTCCAGCCACTGGATGGCGATAACTCTAATCAGTACACTAGTTATTTGTGGGTATGTATATCTTATGGTTGCGCGGGTGCTTTCGACTGCGGACACTAGGGATCCTGGATACCAGCAGCCACGATATTACCAGACAGGAGGTTGGTTAATTGGAATGTAAAACAATAAAGTAACAATTCAATTGCTAAGAGATCATTTATTTAAATAACAACTAATTACTTTGCCTAATTGATTGTATGTAAGAAGCTGGATGTAAAAGAATAAGAAAGGGACGGAGGTGATTATAAGAGAGATAGGAAGCAGTTGCTGTCTATGCAGCAATGATAACTGTGGAAAATTACGAGACATGCATCAGCCACGGCTGGCCCGAGAGGGAGATGGTAATCCATGGGTGGGTATGTGTTTGTCAAGGCTCCTCCTAAAACTATCCTTTGAAGAGGCTATGGTCACTTCGGCTGAAAGTGGCATTCAAAATGGAGACAATGATTTGTGAATAAAAGTGATAGCGTACCCGGATGTTCCCTCCTCGACCTGCAATCGTTCGATTGTTGCTTCGAGGAGCGTAATGATGACATCCTGGTAATGTGCTAGCGTTACAAGTGGCTTGGCGTACTTAGTAGGCCATATTCGATCATCAGATCGCTCCCCACTTTTCTGTAGCTCAGTAAGAACAAACTCAGACATGAATCCTGTCCTTCTTTGGTTTTTTCTAGATATGTCACCCAGTTGATTGCTGCTCTCTGTACTCCGTCTAGGAAATTTATATCTCTTTTGAATGGAGTGGGTGTAACGACTCTTTGAACTCTAACTTAGGGCTGTGCATAAGTTCTAACTGGTGTCAGGAACGACTTTGAGGTGATTAAGCCCCTACACAAGTGAAATAGTTTGGCTGAAATAATATCCTTTCCCAGTATTTTACAGTGCTTGTCACATCGTTCTTTAACAAAAGCTACCTTATCTTCAGATAAGCTACTCTCCGACATCGGGACATTAAATAAAATCAAGAAGTTTTATCTAACGTCTTTTTCTCTCATTTTCAGCGTTCGAAGAGCGATACTTTTGCCACTTTTTTTCTCGACACTCATCCATCGCTCCCTACTGTCAGCAGATAGCAAGGCGCTAGAAACGGTTGGCGGTTTTGTTGGTGTATGAGCTCGGGTTGTGGCTCACATAGTCACGTGGTTTTGTGAGTCTGCGTTTGAAAATTCGTATATTTTAGTAAAAACTGGTACCATTACTTTTAATGAAAAATTTTGCTTGCCTCTTATTGGTTCAGTTTGTGTAATTTTTCTACGCTGTGAGTAAACATACCAGAACACAGACAGAGGTCACTTAACATGAAGTTGTAGTGCTGCGTAGGTACCTCAGTATAACAGCAACAGCAACCCAGCTACTTATAGTGACATAAGTATTATAGGATGTTAGTCGTGAACAGAAGGTCTGGCAGCCGAGAGGCAAAAGGATCGAATAGTAAAGAATAGAAACAGGATGCAATTTGTATGAAAATGCAGAAACAATGAAGTCTGAGTCATTTTGAGACAATTGGTTGACATTTTGCGAATTAATCATTCACTTTATGATTGCTAGATTGTATTAACAAATCCTGTAATTTTGTGTTAACTACATTCGACTGTCCCCACCCGTGTTCTGTTCACTACATCACCAGGAGTAGAACCCAAGTAGAATTGTTTTCCTGAATACTTCGCTGTAGATTCAGTTTTCTTGCTTCGGTTGAGTCACCCATAATGTACACATTGCTTGTTGATTCTTTATCTGATGTCATCTTGAAATTTCTTTGATCCTGTCGCTAGAGACGAGGATTTTCGAAATATTCTTAACCTCCTTATTAGGATTTATATCTTTGCCAGTTACCCATGTATTCATAGTATAAGTACTGATGGCAACGCTTTTACTGTACATTCTATTCAATAAACCAAACAGTAAAATATGATATAACTCAAAAAGGAAGAATGCGAGACATAATTTTCGGAGGGGGAAAATAGTAGAAGTCAGTGAACAATGGGAACTGACAAAGATATAAAGCTGCTACTTTAATCTGCAGACAGCCAGACCTAATGTGTTGTGACCCAACTATGGTACAATTATGGTTGACGGAGTTGTTATTCTGGTTGTCTAACAGTAAGGTGAAGACTGTGCGGATACCTGGAGATGGTCAAGTACTATAGTATAATAGTGGAAAAGTGGGTCTCTTTGGTTATTGTTGAGATATAAATGAGGTTACTTCAAACTCGAAGAGCACGCTCAGCGCCTAGTTATATCAGTAACATGTCCAGACCAGCCTGGAGAGAACATGCACTATCATCCTTTTTCGGTGACTGAAAAAACTAATTGACTTCTGATTTTTAAAAAGCCTCAACATTCTCTTCATTTCTTGACATGCAAAGTGTAGTTTGCATTTTATATTTTTTGATTATATTATCACAGTAATACGAACAATATGTAATTATTGTATAATGTTGTGGTGCACACACACATATGCCCTCTGTGTTATCGTCTTCTGCTTTATCAGCAGCATAAAATTTTATCAGTATAGTGTTATACGATTTTTCTGCTGAAATTTGCCTTCCGTGATTGTTCGCCAACCCCTTCTGAATTATTAGCGTTCAGTTTGTTTTGTGTGCCACCATTGATTAAACGGTCTCATTTCACATTTCGCACCATTCAAAATAGTTCACTTATCATTAGGTTTCAAATACACGTTATTGGTAGATATTTTAATTCAAATTTCATATGTATATGTGCTCCCGAGCTTTGAAAGCTCTATTAGATATTGCATGGAAAGTACTCCCAAGAATCTACTAGACACTGCGCATTATAACAACTGGTTTCCCAATAATATAAGAACTTTCTCAATCTCCGTCATTTCTGAAGTTTTGTAACTTTGCCTTGCGTTTAACACGTGTTCCGCTTCTTGAGATGTCAAAATGTCTGTTTACGATAGTCGTCGGAACATTCCCTCTACATTCATCAAGCTAGTTGGTCTATATTTGTAAGATAGAAACTTTCCTTTCAAAGTGACAGCAGAATCGTGGTTGGTATTTCGATAGTTAAGTGGAATGATACACCGATGCACAATAGTTATGATATACATTCGATTACGGCGACTCGATGAGGAGATCTTTGGTCACTCAAATACTTAATTTGGTATTTCTGGGAGAACGCGCACTTTTCGAGGATCCTCTTGATATGCAAAAACAGCGGTAAACAAGCCTGCTCAGAGATGGAGCTAAACATCAAATGTAATATTCGCATATGGGTTGTAAATGAGTTCCTGGGTATTGTTGGCATTAGTTTTAAATGTTGTTCTAAATCAGGGGGTTTTGCTTTGGTGGGGACTCGAATGTCAAATAATATCACCTGAAATATGTGAACATTTCGGTGGTGGTTAGCTGTGGAATTCGGGATGAGGGAGAAGTCCAAGAAATAATGGTCATTACCATTCCTCAACATCGATAAAGAGATTCATGTGGCCAAAATATGTACCTCAGTTTAAACAGCTGTTCAATTAGTCAGGCAAATGTTTTACAGCTATCATTATGAAGTCCGAATTTCTAGAAATCCTAGTAGCTTCGTACTGGGAGATGGTTGAGTGATACCTAAAAACGATAGTGGATAACAGTTAACTTCTAAGGCCATCAAACGTCACTATGCCCTAGCAAGATCATCTACCAAATAGATCATTTGGTGTTAAACACTTTACTGGTTCTCGTCTAGGTCAAGGACAGCCAACACATCGAATAATTGCATGCCATGGACAGGCATATGGGACAGTGGTTTCAACTTTTCATAAAGTTGACTTTCAATATTAGTATATTCCTTCGAATTCTGATAGTATTTGTTCTAATAAATCACAAAGGAAGTTAATCCACTTGATTATGACGCATAGATAATACAGGTTCAACAATAATCATGAGGTGTGAATTCACTGTAAACTAGAAAGCCATATCATTCAAGTCCTACTGGAGTTAGGCACCACTATCCACATTGTTCAGCTTGTAGTGTTAGTCATTCGTTTTTAGCCCATAATATATCTTATATTCTAGTTTTCGGACATTCCATTTTATTCATTCTACTTGAGTCATATTTTGACCTTGTCAATTATTCGCTTGTCAGTCTTGATTGTTTTTATATGAGCGTATATATGTGTACACTTCATATCCCATGACTCATCACATGTTTGTAGTTTATTTTTGTCTGACTATAAATATTGAGTAACGCTCGACTAAAATGGAGTTGGCTTCCCAGCCATCTTCCATACGTGTCATTTTGCTTTGCTATGTTTTATTCGCTTCATATACAAAATATATGTATTCGCAAATCAATTCTCGTTATTCGACTTATTTAATTCCGTTATTGGATAATGCGATTTAAGTCGACGATTATATACGAGAATAGGTGATAACAAACATTTATACGATCTCAATGGAGTCAGATCACGGGCCACTAAAAGCTACAGTGATCAACATTTGTGTAGTGGCGATTAAATGGCCACAAAAATATTGGATACTTAAACCTAGTAAATTAAAAGTAGTGGCAAAATAAGCAGAAAATACCAACAAGATACAATCTCTGACAGATAAAACTGTTAAATACGACAATGACTTGAACTGAATTTTGCACCTTTCGATTGCGAATTATAACACACTTCTAAAACTGAAAAAACTTAATGTTGTCTCGAATTTAAACATTATCAGCTTCCAAAATCCTTGCCTGACTTTTCGGGCTGACGATTCGTATAGATGCTGATTTCGCTAGATAGCTGGTTTTCTAAGCAGGTTGCAGGTCATCGATGTACAAGCAAC